TACATTCTATAGTACAGCTGGGGATAGCAAATCTCCTTTCTTCTTACGTGAACTTGTTGGAGGTGTCACTTCGGCTGAACAGAGAAATATCAAACTTGTCGCTGATTTTGTTAAAAGTAAGGGATTCGAAATAAAATATGAGGACACTGATTCTTTATATCTCGTCTGTCCAGAAGAATGCTTTCAGAAATGTGACGGGGCTTACAACAATGATGAGAATTGGTCTCAAATGGTAAAAATCTCTATGGAAAAAATGGAGAAACTTCGTGATGGAGTCAATGACTTTCTCAAAAAAGATAATGGATCACCTTATCTCAAAATGGCATATGAGGAAGTTTTATTTCTGGTAGTATTTACTGGAAAGAAAAAATACTACAGCATTCCACATATAAGCAAGCCGAACTTTAATAATAAGCTTTTTATTCGGGGGTTGAGATCGTAAAACAAGGACAGTCTAGTCTTTTCCGCAAAATAGGAAAATGTATTATGGAAGAATCTACGAGGGTAAATAATACCCACCTTGCATCAGATTGTGGAGGATATACTCAAAGAAACTGTAAATGATATTTCACAGATAGATCATAATGAATTAGTTCAAACTGATGCGTGGAAACCTGATAAAGATAACAAACGTGTCTAGCGCTTCATTTCACGAATAGGAAACAGACATATTCGTGAAGAAGCAAATGCCAAATGGCTTATAAAAAAGGGCTTAACTCCTGACCCTTATCTTTATCAAATCCCAGAACCGGGTGAACGTTTTGAATACGTTGTAGTTGAGCAGGATAATAATTCATCACAGAGAGTGGGTGATAGAATGGAGTATCCAGACGTAGCAAAGTGATTAAGTAAAAAGATCGATATTAACTATTATCTGAAAAGTGTTGTCAGTCTCTGTACGTGTTTTATAAATTACGATGATCGATACCAGCCGAAGTGACACCTCCAACAAGTTCACGTAAGAAGAAAGGAGATTTGCTATCCCCAGCTGTACTATAGAATGTA